AATATCCATCTTTTTGTGTCTTCCTCAGTTTCTTTCATAAGTGTTTTATAGTTTCTAGAGTATAGATCCTTTACCTCTTTAGTTAGGTTTATTCCTTGGTATCTTATGATTTTTGTTGCTTTTGTGAATGAAATGGATTTCTTAATTTCTCTTTCTATAGTTACATTGTTAGTGTATAGAAAAGCAACTGATTTCTGTGCACTGATTTTGTATCCTGCCACATTACTGAATTGCTGTACTAATTCTAGTAATTTTGGGGTGTGACTTCCCATTTTATTTTTTATTTTTGTTTAAGAACTGCATTCCTGGAGGTGTCTGGAGGCCCCTATTTCAGGACACCTTTTCAAACCAGTGCCAGGCTGGACAGGCAAAGGGTCAAGTGGAAATAACCCACTGGATTTGCTCCAGCCTTAGGAGCTGGGTCTGCTCCAAGCTGATCCTCTGTCAGGGAGCAGTGGGGACTGATTCTTGGCCTGAATTCAGTGGCAGTTCCTGTGAGTGTAGGGACTCCAGAATTGACCCAAGATGACGAGGTATGACCATTTCACAGTGCCACTTGCAGGACAGTTGCAGGCTGAGGACATACATTGGCTATTTGGTAACCTCTTTGTCTTGTTCCCAGCAATTTCCATCCCTTGCCAACACATCTACTTTTGCTGCAGGCTCTTGTGAGGCTTCAGGCCACTCCTAAGATTCATCTCTTTAATCAATGGAAAGGAAGAAATGGCCTACCTTTATTATTATCTAGGTCGGCTCTCTCAAAACAAGCAGGCTGCAAATCCCAATGGCTTCTCAGCACTGTCTCAGAAGCATCCATCCTTCATTACGCTATTCCCATGGTAACCTTAGGCAGGGAGAAGAAGGACAGTTAACCATTGAGTGGCTATTTTTAGATTTCTGGCCAGATGCTTTGACAAATCTGTTGAGGGAAAGAAAATGAAACGAATATAGGAGAGGATTTTTTTTTTTCCCCAAAGACAATATCATTTAAATTCATATTATAAAACTGGAAAAGACCTTGAGAAATCATTCAACCTACAACCTCTAGGAAGATCTACTTCCAAATCAAACCAAAAAATTTTTCAATAAGATCTTCTTTAGAACATTTTACATAATAGCTTATTCTAAATAGATAACCAAATTTTCTAACTTGATTTTATCCTGTGTTGAATTTCAGTTCTCAGACCAACAGAGTTGGGAATAAGACTGAATATGATTGCTCAAGTTGTGGGCTACACAACCCTGAGGGAATAATTTATTTAGACCATGCTAATAATGACATCCCTGAGGCTTGTGCTGTGCACATTCTGTGCAACTATCTACACTGGTCATATTTCACTTACTTTTTTTTTTTAATGTAAATTCCTCCCTTCCTCCTTAAAAACCTTCAGGAATTTCCCATTACTCTGAGGTTAAAGCCCATGGATCTTTAAAGTGGTTATAAAAGTACAACATGTTATCTATCCTGCATACCTGTCCAGATTCATTTAGTACTACTGTAGTTCTCTTTCTCTGTGTTTTGGCAAAAGCCTTTCAACCAGAGTCTCAAACATGCCATTTCCCTCCCATCTCAAGATCTTTGCACTTATCTATAATACTCCTCCCCATGCTTTCTTACCTAATATCTCTAACTCCTTCCTGTCCTTTAAAGCAGAGCTCATTTACCAGAAAACACTTTCTCAACCTCTGAAACAAGAAAAGCATACACCTTCAATAGTCTCTTCTAACAACTTGTGCATTTCTTTCCCAGTACTTAACAGTTTGTGAATCTATATTTATTTATGTAACTTAAAAAAAAAAAAACCACAAATCTATGAGCTTCAGGTTGTAAGCAAATGATATTGTTTGCTCACAATTATATATCTACTACCTGTCACCATGTATAGCAAATAAATAATTCTAGTAACTGAATAAATGACTAGCAGTTATTTTAAAGGGACATAATCCCAGTTTCTCTTTAAGTCAAGCTGTCAATGTGATTACAGTAGGGTGCCTTAAAATGTAATGTGCATCCAAATTCCCCAGAGAACTTGTTAAAAATGCAGATTCTTATTCAGTAGATCTAGGTTGTCATTCATTCATTCATCCAAATTCCCCAGAGATCTTGTCAGTAGATCTAGCTTGTCATTCTTCATTTCCAACTCGTATGTGACTAGCTCTAGAATTTGTAGACTGAAATCACCTTAGGAGCTTAAAAAGAACAACAACAAACAATTCTGAGATTTCATTCCCTGGTGATTCTGGTTTAATTGTTATGTACTTGGCCTGGGTATGGGGAATTTTTATAAACTCCCCAGCTTAAAACCCCCCAAAACAAAACCTTCCCGGTTTATTCTAATATCCAGCGATCTTGGAAATTCACTGATTCCAGGCAAAGTTCAACCTTAACAGGAGGTAAAGGAATATTTTTGTTGCCCTTTGTATTAAACAGCATCCAACATGGCTACCTGATAGGGGTCCATCTTGTTACTGTTTTTTAAATGTGTATCTCTTAGAGACTCACAGCAAAGTGTTACCTAGCATTTGTTGTGTGAGTAGAGATAATCCCATAGGAGTTGGTTAATGTGGCAGCAGACTGGTCTGATCTTAAACTTTCCCACCTCTATTCACGGGGGAAATTTATGTCTTATCAACTATTTCAAAAGTAAGTGTAGTTATTGAAAGAAGTGTTACATTTTGGTAGAACCAAATGCAGTTATAGTATTATACAACCAGAGGAACAATGCATACTCACTCACATAATAGCATCAGAGAAAAGAGAACTAGAGTGCACTTCCAAAACCTGCAGTATTTGTAGTGAGTTTGTTGATTTCCTACTTGCCTATAACCAAGAACCTGAAGATGAGCATAGGTTTGGGCATTTGGTTACTTTCTCTGAAGATCAATGCTTTTTTTTTTTTTAATTTAAGATTTTATTTATTTATTTGAGACACACATACACACAGAGCATGAGTAGGAGAAGAGACAGAGGGAGAGGGAGAAGCAGACTCCCCACCAAGCAGGAAGCCCGATAGGACTCTCGATCCCAGGACTCTGAGATCATGACCCAAGCTGAAGGCAGATCCTTAACTGACTGAGCCACCCAGGCGCCCCGAACAAAGATCAATGCTTTTTAATCTAGAGCATAGTAATAACAGCCCCCCCTTTCTTGTCATTAATTACACTGTTTTATTTTTGTTTGTGTTTTTAAGTTTGAAACTTCCCCATTGTGGAGTGTAATCTTTTACACTAGGTAGCTGAGCACAGTCGTACATGTCGAGCTCTACACTGGTTGTTTTCATAGTCTTGATTACTTAGCCTCCTCAGCAAACCTGTTAGGTAGATCACATTTTATAGATGACAAAATTGAGGCTTACTAGTTCACTCTCTTCCCCCAAATACAAAGATGGCCAGTGGCAGAGTCCCATTATATCTGATGCTTTCTCCACCCTGGTGTTAATTCATGGTGTCAGGCCAAATTCGACCTTCAAATATATTGGTCCAGTGGTCTCAATACATTTTTAATGAGGTGCTGCCATTTAGAAAGCAGAAAATTTTCCATAAAAATCCAGATTCCAAGCTTATATTTAGAATAATTATGTCTTAAAAAAGTAAAATAAAAAACTAAAATAAAATCATGATATCTGACAATATTGAGTAACATGCCTGCCAGCCCGAATCTTGTGGGAAGCTGAGTAACATTTTTCTCTCCCAGCTGACTTTCTACGTCTCACTGATAGCTCTTTTACTCCTGGCCTGGCCCAACATTGATGACACTTGTTTGACCCCTCCAGGTCTCTGGGTTTTCAGCTTAGCCTCTGAACTCTATTGAGGGAAGAAGTAAATTTTATTATCAAGAAAAAAAAAATGGCCTCTTCCTTGGTGAGGTGAAGACCATTGCATTGCCATCTTTATGATTTAAGACCTTCTCAGGACTCTGTATATTTGCACGTAATGGGCTGATTTCTTTGACTACAGAGTGGTGAAGCTTAGTATCCTTTCTTCTGATTCTAGTATTTAGCTATCTGGATTGTTTTCCAGTCAAAATTTTGACTTCAGAGGGGTTTCTAAGTTGTGTGGCTGTGTTGCAACAACTGTAGCCCCATGAAAACCCACATATCCCTTGGACTCAAGGTACAGTTGTATTCCCTTTAGTGTCCTTCAAGGAAGACTGTGGTAAAGAAGAAGAGGCTTTTCCCTAATGTTGTCAGGGCCTAGCAGTGCCGGGCTGATCATCCCAGGAACTTAGTCACTGATTTCTGATGTAGCAGGAAATGTAGAAAGCAAGATTCACATGTAGGGAGTCTTCTCCTTGGTTTTGAGAGCTGTTTGCCTCTGTTGCAGTGTACCCGTTTCATTGTTTCCATTCCATGCCTGGCTCTGACCCACTGCCCACTAGGTTGTTGGTTTCTCTGCACTCCCTCTGAGTTATTCACTCCCTCTGAGTTATTCAATCTTTGGAGCGCCTTCTCACTGCGTGTCAGAGCCCTGTCACTCGACAGAGTGCGGGCACATATGCTGTGCTGCTGAAAGAAGATACCCATCCTCTTATTCCCAGAAGATGGTGGCCCAAGGATAAGGCGAAGGATTTTTAAACGGTTAAATGCTAACCTGACTGTTCTGTTACGTATTTCACTTGGGTTTAAGAGGCCAATCTGGTAACTGAACCCTGTCTAGGGAACATGAGAAAGATAATTCAACTATCCCTTATTTTACCACATGGCATGCCATGTGAGACATCATTGGTTTTAAGATATGCCATTATTTGATACGCCACTGAGAACAGAAAAAACACTGTCAAGTAAATTATGTCATTTAAATTATGTTGATTGTTCTCCCTTTCTCAAGTACAGATTTTCTAACAAAAACATGTCTTAGGATTGACAAATATGGCACTTCAACTTCTATTGCATGCCTTTAATGTAGAAGACAAGTGTCTTCTATGTGTGAAAATGTTAATTGTCTTAATAAGATAGAAGAAAGTCAATGAAAATATTTACGCTACCATGTTCTTCCTTCAGCAACCATCAACTGACCTAGAATTTGACCGCGTAGTGATTTATACCACTTGCCTTCGTGTGGTACGGACAACCTTTGAAAGATGTGAACTGGTTAGAAAGATCTTCCAAAACCATCGAGTAAAATTTGAAGAGAAAAACATAGCTCTGAATGGTGACTATGGAAAAGAGTTAGATGAGCGATGCCGACGTGTTTCAGAAGCCCCTTCCCTCCCTGTCGTGTTCATTGATGGCCATTATCTTGGGGTAAGTACTCTGCTAAGGAAAATCTTCTTTTTTTATTGAACCCAGCCAGGGTTGTTAGAAATCTGTAAGCCTATGACAAGGTGACTTGCAACATAACTCCCAGGACATTTGCTATTTTTTTGGAGTTCAGACCAAAGGGATTGAAGCACTTATTTCTATCCCAAATGATGTGTTGCTAACAGTGTTCATCCCTACAGAAGCATGGTGAGATAAAATCAGCATGAAATTGCCTTTTTTAATAGGAACACATTTTTCACTTGTTCAATTGACTTGAGTTTTGCATTATGAAGCTTAGCATGTGAGATACAAACTATTTTTTAGTGCACATGAGAAAAAGGGAATATTTATAAGATACACATTTATGAATTCTCTTACACCCCATTATCAAACACTCAGTTTCCTACCTAATGAAACTAAGATGGCAGTCCCAAAACAAAATCAGTAAGAAATGAGGCCTGGAACCAGAATTTTATTTTCTTGTTGTTTAAAATTATTCTGGATTTTGGTAATTTGGCAGTGTGAGATCCAAGTTTAGGCTTGCCATAGCAGAACAGAGCAAACTCCTGAGCATCAAGGAAACATGACTGCCTCGTTTCTTTTTGAATAATACTGTTAGCGTAATTAAGCCCCACTGATCTATGAACAGGCTCCCTCACTAAGAAGCCCAAGAAGAGGGCTCTGGAGAATGCACTTTATAAAGGGTAAGAACAAAGAGCCAAGGGACGCCAGAGGTTGAGGGGGTGGGACTGACTCCCCCAGATCACTTATCAGAGAACAAAGAGCTGCCTTCGGATGGCAGATGGATATTTGGAGCTTGGCTTTGTTTTGCATTTGGTCTTAACCTTCCGCTTTCAGAGATGGTTAGAAAAAACGCAGAGCAGGAAATGCTCATGTTTTGTTACAGGGAAACTGTTCTTCTGATATCCTGCCTAGAGCCATAGCTGTTAGAGGCAGCCTGTCATCTGATGGAAAGATAAATGGGGAGAAGCCATGATTCACTAGCTATGCCTTCTGCAATTTTACTTTTAACTTGAGTTGGACACAGACTACATTTTGAAGAGGAGGAATTTAGATTTGAAGCATTGAGCCTCTTTCGTTATATTTCCACATGTACCCTTAGGTCCCAGAAAGCCGCAACAATGGCAATGATAGTAACGATAACTTAATAATAATAGTAGTAATAACGTTACTATACTGTGTTCTTAGCTTTATACATTCATCTCATCTAATCCCCAGGACAGCCTTAGAGAACACTTCTCTGCTCTACTCGGAGAGGCAAGATTGGCCTTGTTTCAAATTCCTGCTCTGATACTTCTATGTGATTCTGGGTAATTTATAAATCTTTCTGTGTCTTGGTTTTCTCATTTGTAAAAGGAGCATGGTGATAGAACTTTTCTCACAGACTAATTGTGAGGATTTGACCATATATAATATATAGAAGTACTCAATTCTTATGCTTGGAAAAAAGTAGGTTTTTAATAAATAGTAACAATCTTTTGTTACTTAGTTATAAATCAATAGTAACAATCTAACTATTCTTGTTTTGCTAAAGAAAACATTAATTATTTTGCTCCAAGTCACATAGCTGGTCAAGTGACAGGACCAGGACTCAAAATTAGGTCTGACTCTCCAAACCCCTGCTTTTTTGCACATTACCTCAAAGAAAGGGATGTCTCTCTCTCTCTCTCTCTTTTTAATTGGAACATTTCACAGATTTGTGTGTCATCCTTGAGCAGGGGCTATGCTAATTTTCTCTGTATTGTTCTAATTTTAGCATATGCGCTGCTGAAGCAAGCACAAGGAAGGAATCTTTGATACTTTGTGGATATGGTCTTATACCTAGGACATGGTTTGGCACAAAGTGCTCAGAAACGTATATTGAATGGGTGTATGAATGTTGCTATACTCTTCTCTCACATTCTTTCCTCCTCTCCCTATGACATTCTTCTACCAGGAAAGAATCTGATAAACTTACTCCCCAGGGAGAAAATCACTGATAAGAGTGATTTTAACTGGCAAAATTCTTCTGATGATGTAAGATATTTTCCATTGTAGAATTTTAATTTCTGTGCAACTGCCCAGTTAAATTTAGTGGGTGACTGCCTCCTTACACAGGTGTAATATGGTTGGCCTTACCTGACACCCTGCTTTTGACCATACTTACCTTCTTCCTTCTTCTAAGGCAATCCAACAGGCAGTGATGCTATTTTTCTTTGCATTTGATGCCTAGAGGCAGAGGGCAATGGACAAAAGAAACAGGGTGCAGGTTCTTTCCCAGCTGCTTTTTCTGTGATTACTTTATTAGCACACAGTGGCCTAGAGAAGGAAAGATCGCACAGGTGTTAGTTACCTTGTTGATTCTGCCATTTGAAGCTAATGCCCCAAATCTGGAAAGAGACCAGAGGCAGAGATTTTGTTTTCCTCTTTCTTTTTTCTTATAAATGGAGAATTCTTCAAAATCTATAATTTGAAATGGAGGTAAGCACTCCAGAAAACAACTTCTACAACAGTTTATCCTCCTACCACAAAAGTGTCTTGATTTTAAATTCCAGGGCACATTTGTAAATGGAAGACATTGCTGGAATCATAGAGCCTTCTCCCTGCAGTATTCATTCATCTGAAATGGAAGGACGCCCTCTGCTGGGTTTTGGCACATGGTGAAACATAATTTTTAGGGAGGAAAGGACGCTGATGTTGGTAATTTCCTTAACATCTGTGATGTTTTAAACAGTCACATTAAACCACTTGATTTAGTTTAAATTTAGATGAGTGAGAAAAATCGAGATGTATGCATCATCTGTGCAATACAACTTTTTTTTTTTTTTTTTTTTTTTAAGGAGGGAGCGAGAGAACTAGAGAGGGCCAGAAAATGTGGGAGATAGGGACAGAAATAGGCCTACGGAGGCAGTGAGATGGGATAGGGAGAGCATGAGACCATTTTGTAGCCCCCTTATTTCCCTGCCATCATTGCCACCAGAGCCAGAGATGGGTGGCACCAAGGGAATTCACTTATCTTCACTGAGGGGAAGCTCGCAGAGTTCAATGGGCAAGAGCAGAAGAATTGACAAAAATGCTGAGCTTTTTTTCCCTGACAACTTTGATTCCCAGCCAAACTTCTATGTAAAGATGAAAGCAGTGATGTAGTCAAGGGAAAGAAATTACTTTAGAAAACAAAGCTCCTCTGCCCTGAGATGCTCCATCAGGAGAGGATGGGTCAGTCAAAGAGTTGGAGGCTCAGAGGGTTAGAGGAGAAGCAAGTTCATCTTGAAGCTTGCTTAAAGTCATTGTCCTGTTGCTTTCGCATTGGGAGATCTTTACACAAAAAGATTGCATTTCAATTGTTCGGACAAAGATGATCTTGGAAATTCTAGTAGGAAATAGGTTAGAAGTACTATCTTAATTCTAGACCAACCATAAAACTTTATAGTACAAATCCATGAAACCTACATTGGAACTGAGCTATAAAACATGGAATGAATCAGAGTGGGGACCCTGGTAACAGAGGAATGGAAGGACAGTGGATCTAGACAGGTGTTTAAACTAGCTGATGTTGAGCGGTGACTGATTTATAATTCTGTATCCATTGAAAGTTCTGGGTTTTTCTTTTTCTTTTTTTCAGTTTAAGAATGAAGGAATTGTTATTGAGTACATGTAGTTTATACATGAGAAATATAGACTCTAGGCATGTTTTTAGAGACAACTTGCAGAACTTCTCTGCAGAAATGGCCTCCAAGGAACCTCTGCCACAATCAGAAAGTGGCTGGCTCTCTAGAAATGCTGTCTTTGGTTCTCTCCAGCAAAACAGATGATTTGTTCTCTGGCCCCTTTTTCTACTTAATTCTGTTCCTAAGTAAAGCCTTGAGTGAGTGTATCTGTGGTTACTGAACAGTCACATATGTAAACAATGAGGGAAAATGAGAAATGTGGTTTTTAGCTTTCTGGCCTCTACAGTATAGGAAGACATTCTAGAAGATGATTGGATTGATTACGAAGTGAGCCAAACCATAGTATCTGCCAGATATGCTGTTTTCATTTATTTTGTTTTGTTTTAATCAGAATATTGAGGTACAATTTAAATATAATAAACTGTATCCATTTAACTTATAATTTGATGGGTTTTGGCAGATATGTACACTCAAAAATGTATCAACACATTTGAGATCAGAGCATTTCCATAACCCTCCAATATTCCTCATGTCATTTGGCAATCTCTGCCTCCAACCTAAGTCCCCTGGTGATCATTGATCTTTCTGTCAATATAGTTTTCTTTTCTTTTAATGACTTTGTCTGGTTTTGGTGTCAGGGTAATGATGACCTCATCAAGTGAGTTTGGAAGTGCTCTACTTTCTGCAATTTCAATTTCTTGTTCTCTTTATTGCTTAGTGTAGAGCATTAAATCATTTGACATAATTTTCTCTTTATGTGAAGGACTTCTTATATGCTACTATTTTAGTGTGGGTCTACTGTAGATAAATTCTTTTAGCATATTTATGTCTGAAAAGTTTTTATCTCACCTTTGTCTTTTACAAGATATTTTTGCTGGGTATAGAATTCTAGGTTAAAACTTTTTTTTTTCCTTTCCTTTCAGTACTTAAGAGACATTGCTCCTTTGTCTTTCTGTTTGCATAATTCTGATAAATTATATGCTGTCATCCTTATTTTTGTTCCCTGTATGTGTATCTTCTCACATTGCTGCTTTCAAGATTCTTCTTTTTGGGATGTCTGGGTGACTCAGTCAGTTAAGGGTCTGCCTTAACTTAACTCAGATCATGATCCCAGGGTCCTGGGATCCTGTCCCACATCAGGCTCCTTGCTCAGTGGGGAGCCTGCTTCTCCCTCTGCCTGCTGCTCCCTCTGCTTGTGTTCTCTCTCTTTGATAAATAAATAAATAATATCTTAAAAAAAGATTTTTTTTCAATATTGGATTTGAGAAACTTGATTATGATATATTTTGGTATAGTTTTTTTCATGTTTCTTTTGCTCAGGGTTCATTGAGATTC